GGGAAGGAATTGAAAGGGATGATGTTACATATCATATCAATAAGTCGGTACGTGTGAGAGAACAATATGATATGCTTCGAGCTAATGTATGGAAAGATGTAGACATGGAACGAAATTCTGCCCGGAGTGTTTGGTTTCCAGTGTTACCTCGCCAAGGCAGTATGGGTGAGTGAGTGAGTGAGTGAGTGAGTTGGGTTTAACGCCGCTTTAAACAGTATTCCAGTTATATCACGGCGTGTCAGCTTTATGTGGGAGGAAAGCCCGAAGTGATGCAGGTCTCAGACGTTTACTACTTCGGTGAAACCCACGAGCACGGGTATGGTGCTTACAAACCTAGAAACATAATCGGGGCGATTCGAACCCACAATCATAGGTTTCTGGCGTGTCTGCACAACGAATAGGGTATTCATTTTGTGCAAGGCAATCATACACTATTATTTAAAAGTATGCTTCTTGTTTTGATGAAAAGAAAGATGAATGTCTCACATCGTGAACCGTTGTTAGAATGAAAACGGTAAGCCATGATAGGTCAGTGGTTATACCCCGTTGAAGACGGAAAGTTCCTATTTGGAAAGTGTGGTTTAAGCAATACTTGTTTACACAAATGCTAACTTGATTAATTAGACTTTATGAGCTATACCTTGGTAGCGGGCTTTGATCTTTGACCTTGAACACGTAGGTAACGCGTGTGTGTTAATATAGCCTTAACGACAAAACTAACAAATCGATACTAAAAGTATAGTCCGATGTACGATTCCGACAATAGCATAAGCATGTGTGTATGACATGTAATTAGTAAGGATAATAGATGTTCGCGAACTGGTTGCATCAGTCACAACCACAAACACAAACACATACAAAGGTGAGACACAAATGAACAAACACGGAAACATACAAGTCAAAATAGGGAATTGCATCGGGCATCATAATGAAATTCGGAATGTCCTCCACATGTCCACCATAACACGTTCTGAATGCCTCACTGAAGTCTTTGATTAATTACCCTAATCAAACAACTCTTGAGCAATCATGAAATCATTGTAGAAAGAACCAACTCGATTGAACCGCAACACACACCAAAGGCTTCAGCTGCCGAAATATTGCTCGACATAATTGGGACAGTTGAAGTCATCTCTTTTTTCATTGTCTTGAGGAAACTGTATTGAGACTCTGAATCTTTATGGATATATCTAAGCATGAAACAGATGAGATGGTTTCACTGGTGTCTTTTATTTCAAGTTCATGTGGGTAAATCAGTGGAAGGGAATTGGCCATGGGTATTTAAAATTACTGAACAATATTGAACAAGCTTAAGTGAAACGTATTGGCCAAATCCCTTTGTTTTGATTTTGCCTAGCCGAGCAGAATTTCATATCCATGTGCATAAAGAAACAGATCAGCAAGAAGTGGGCACATGTTGTTTCCAGGGGGATGCCATCGACCTGCCAAAAGGTGATATCCCAAAACTGCACATAGATGTCATCTATAAATAATACAGCATTTCACAAAGTGTTTTCTGAGTTAAATTCAGATGGCATTTGCTTTCATTTTTAACAAATTGTCCTGAACCTGTGTTAGAGATACAATACTAGTATATGGTTCCCTGAATGATTGGTTTGATTGTTGTTTTACAAGGTTACAAGTTTTACCAGGTTTAACCTAAAATTCACAAATTAACTATTTACAATTCCAATTACCAATATTGACCAACAAACTTATGTTGCCAAATAAATATCAAATATCGTATCAATCCAAAAATATACATGATTGGACAATATCTACACTGGTGATACAAGGATGAAAGAGAGACGTACAAAAAACAAATTCTATAAGACCTACATCATAATATACTGAACAGCATTGAAAACGCACCACCATGAAAATGGATGTATTTTTATTCGGGCTTAAGTCATATGAAAATATATAAGTAAATGAGTAATATACGACGTTCTGGACGAAGCATGAAGAAGAACAGCTCGTCAAAACACATTCCTAAGTTTTTTGTGAGCGACATCGCCAAAACGCAACAAATTGCGTGCACATCATTGAAAACGTGTTTTGTTTCACGGGAAGCATGCAGAATAGGGTTATAAAAGACAGTGTCATGGTGTGGGGTGGCATCAGTCATAACCATCGAACAGAGACCCATGTTTGTCGTGGAAGAGTTAATGCCCTTTACTACAGGAAAAACATATTGGCAAATCACGTCATCCCATTCTTTCATCAGCACCAGGATATGCACACCCTCCAGCAAGATAATGCAAGAGCGCACACAGCACGTGTTTCAACACAGTACCTAGCAAACAATAATGTGCCACTGAATCCATGGCCAGCCCTGTCACCCGATCTATCGCCAATTGAACATCTATGGGATTACCTGGGTCAACGCCTCTCACGTCGTCCGCAAGTACAGAACCTGAGAGAACTTGAAGATACACTACGTCAAGAGTGGAATGCCCCAGAACACTATTCGCAGACTTATTCGATCAATGAGAAGACGTTGCATGGCCTGTGTTGCTGTCAATGGTGGACATACCAGATATTGACTTTTTATTTTAACCCTATGTGTCTTCCTTACACTGATGACGTAAATGTAATTACTGTGTGGTATTCCTGTTTCCTTTGTCGTCTTTCTTAATAATCCGTCTATGTCTGTTCTAATTAAAATCGGTCATTGCTCAAGTTGTTTTTGTAATATTTCAAGATTTATTGCTGGTACGTTTTCAATGCTGCTCAGTATATATGTATTCCAAACAGCCTCTAACCTCTCAGTTTATAACCTACTGTTTATAATTTCTGCGTTTTACGTCACCTCATATCTGGCGTCAGGGTGCGACAATAACGACAAATACGAAGAACGTGTAAACTACCAACGGTACAAGTACATAGTCAAAATACATAGGTGCCTGACCATTTCAGACTGATTTGACGTTCCCAATCACGTGTATAATTTTTTCGCGTGAGAAAAATAAACAAGAGACACTTAAAGCTGTAGAATACATTGTTTATACTTTTATAGTATAAATGTTACTTTTATTTCAACATCAGTCTTCTTTTAATAACAAAAAGGGCATCATACATCGAGAGTGACCAGTGTTAAAGTAACTTTATTATCTGTGCTATTTATTTAAGAAATAATCGACTCGTGGTCATTGTTTATCATACTAAAAACACTGCATGGAGAATATACCACGAAGGGTGCAGTGTTTATTTGTACGATAAACAACGACCACGAGTCGTTTATTTCTTATATGAGATATCAAAATTATGTACAGCCTCTTTAACGAGGATGATAAAATGTACAAACTTAAAAATATTTACCTATATTTTAAAAATGATGACTCCCTCAACAGAATCCGACCTCGGTAGTGTCGAACAAGTCCATTTTATTCACAGGTCAGTACTTGCTGCTTAATCACACATTCCTCACGTCGATTACCCATTTCTCCCAATACCGATTGCCATATCTCTCCCGCTTTTGGATGCTATCGCTCGGCCATTGCGTTTATCTGCATTGCCCAGCTACATCTATGGGGAACAACTCAACAGACATTCCCCTTTCAAAAATAACGTCGTCCATACACGATGTCATGAAGTTGCAAGCGTATGTTCGAATCTCCAGAAATGTCGTCGTGACAGAACAATGTTTTATCGTGTAATAAACCACACTTCGTTCTTGATTGTTCTTTGCGATTCATCGCGTATATTATGAATCAGGGCTTTCCGTGTTACTTGTTCTGAAGAAAACGATCGAAAGATAGTGTCATTGAGTGGGTGGCAATAAGTGCGTTTCAATGAGCGACACTGCACATCATCTGCAAATATGAGTGTTAAAAGCTCACTTGAAGCTACTCAACCGCCTGAGGAACATTGAGGTATTTTGAGTCACAGAATGAAAACCGTACCATAATTATTCGCCTACGGTGTCTTAGAAGAAGGCAGCAACCCCTAGTCTCAAATTAAACTATATTTTTCATGTTACTTGGGTTATTAGTTGAAAGTTGTCTGATGGCAGATGTTGAGAGTCCGATGATATCCCATGAAATGACTTTCAATTTCTTGTAAGAGGATGATCCTATTTTGGGAATAGCCTTTCGGCATCCTTTCACAAACTGATAACTGTTGTTGTAGGTTATTAAGTATCTCCAGAAGGGCCTGGATTTGAACTGATACTACGCAAATGAAAGAGTAATGGTAGACGTTGTTTCTGTAGTCACCACCTACGCGTTACGTATACAACAATTATCTGATCCGTTTACAGGGATCTCTTGGTTAGACAGAGTGGGATTAAAGCAAAACGGAATAAAAAAATGTAGTTCATTTCTGGAAAAGCGTCTTCAGTGAACGACGTTAAAATAGGTGAGGCAGGATACGCCTACCCCGTATAATCATTGAGTATTTGAACAATGTCGTTAAAGGTTGTTACATATAGCTTAACAAACAACCTTCAAGTTAGCAATGTATTCAGCTTTTGGTCTGGGTAGAAGGTCCCCATCCCCTTGTAAATATAAGCGACAAAACCCTTTCCATATTCATAAAACATATCTGCCAAAAGCAGAGACGATTGTACGATTCCGACTACATATATATCATGAGCATTTGTGTATGAATCACAATCAAATAGTGACGATACCAGATATCCGCGAAAAGGTGGGCCTATCCTTCCCCACCGGTGGCACCCGTCACAAACACATGCAAAGGCAAGTCATGTTTCATCTGAACAAACACGGGAACATAAAGTTCAAGTCACAAATTGGAAAACGCATCGGACACCATTTTGCCAGTGATGAGTCAAATTTACAAAATGTCCTCTACATGTCTACCATGAAACTGTTTGAAAGTTTTCCCGCCTACCATACCTTTACCGTCTAAAGTGAGGGTCGGGTAGCGACAGTGTGACTGTAGGTTATCATATTCTAAAAGCGCAGGTCATTGCTCTTTGGCAGATTCGATTATTCATATGGGCAGAAGGCTAAGACGAAAACAGGTTAATTACTCACCTTGCTAATCATTTTCGATGGATTTAATCTATATCCACAGAAGACGAATTTCCTTAAATATCTTCTGAATGTTTTATGTAGAAAACAATAAAGCACGGGGTTAGACGCGCTATGAAGATGTCCGAGGAGGAGTGTGAAGTGGACGATGTCCGCCGCGTCCAAATCTGGTCGGAAGTCCAAATATGTCGTCACAATGTAATACGGAAGCCAACAAAGAGCGAACATGACTGCAACAGCGATACACAGCTTCGCCAGTCTCCGTCGCCCCGTCGTCAAACGATGCATACGGCATGTAGGCTCTCGTTGTATAGGATATCGGTATAAATCTCTGTTTAATTCCTTGTCTGGCACCCACAACCTTTTGCCCATGAGTATATAACACGTTGATATTATGATCCCTGGAATGATGTAGACTATTAGAAGTATGGCTATGTCGTATGTTCGCCTGTGGGCAAATGATGGCCACTCCTCTATGCAGAATATAAGTGACTGCCCGGGAAGGATCTCTTCGGTCACAGTCCGTCTAATGATTGGAAGAGGCACCATGATGAGCAAGGAAAACGTCCACACACAGAAGATGAGGATGCGGACGAAGGTGGTTGTCCTCAGTCTTCTGATGGCGACTGGATGGCGAATGGCAAGACATCTGTCGAGGCTCATAGCTGTGATGGTGAAGGTACTGGCAGAGACGGCGATACCTAGGAAACGGGACACGGGAAATATGACAATAATTATTCAAAAACATGAACTCACAAATGTAATGAACGCGATGGCCTTAAATGCTTACACAGTCATGACACACAACATGACAATGTTTGTGAAATTTCAAGGCGTGAGTGAATGTTGTTTAACGCCAGAATATTCCAGCTGCAGCACATTGGCTACTATTCTAAACTTACGAGGTAAACCAGTGTCGGAAAGAATAAGCAGCTATCCTTTCCATCTTGGGAAGATGACACAATCCTCATCAGTCGGTTTTAACAAAACAAAACCGAATAATGATATTCAAGACAAAGTTAGACAAGTGTAATTATCATATGACGCCAAGACAAGGAAGGGAGTTTCATAAATGCGTGTGGGTTATCGTGTCAATATGGCAATACTACAATATATATTGATGAAGTCAAAGACTGTTTATGCGTAATGTACCACAATTTTGGCGTTATCAGTTCCACTTAACGGGTCTAGTGGAGTGTGTCCCTTGGCAGCAAGGATCCGCTGGTAGTGTTCGAATCTCAGATTCCAAACAACTGAAATCATTGGTCTGTAAGCACCATACCCCTGTGATGTTTCATCAATGTGATAAACGTCCACGACAGGTGTCTTATTTGGGCTTTGGTTTAAGATTAAAATACTAATTAAAGGGCGTTGTTTCTAAGTTACTACACACTACTAAATAGTATATTAATAAATAAATCGCCAAAACAATTTCCATAAACATAGGAACCATATCTGCTATAAGCAGAGTAGGTTGTACGATTCCAACTATATCGTGTGTTTATGAATAACTATCAGATAGTAATGACATCAGGTGTTCGCGAAACCGTGAGGGTATCCTGTTCTACCGGTGGCACCCGTCACAAACACAGGCAAGGGCAAGTCAAATGTTCACCCTAGAAACAAGATATATATATATGGTATACTTTAAAATAGAGAATTGCGTCCGACATCATGTTTGTCACTGATGCGTCAAATGTCGAACTGTCCTTCACATGTCTGCCCCAAATCCTTTTGAAAGCCTTTTTCAGCTGGGAAGACGCGTGCGATTTTACCAAAGATCGAACGCGTAAGTGCTCATGGAGATTTACCATACGCCATACTTATCCCATGGTGATCTAGATTTCCAAACATTTTCGAGGCTCCAAACTAAATTCAAGATGCGGTCTATTTATTACCTCAGTGAGTTACATGTCACACTTTATCTTTTATACCAAATATGGTTATTTATTCAAACACCATTCAATTAATCCCTCTCCGTCCCTACGGCTCCTTTATTTATTAACGGTTGAAACATGGCATCTTGGCCTAAGGTTGAATTTACGGGTGGTGGAATCTGAATGTGGTTGAACTCGGATATCAAAAGATTTCATTGTCAAGGTTAGGATAAACTTATTCGTCATGATTGTGTGAATGCAATAATGATTCCAGTTGAGTTTCTGGCCATTAATAATTCAGGCACAAAGCGGCTCACAGAAATATGTACTCTGCTTTTACAAAGTGAAACCGTCATACTGCTGGTATCCAAAATGTCCCGTTTCAACGGTTGTTAATTCGATCTGCATAACACTTTATGGTACCATCTATTTTTTATCAATTCGTATATTTACCATTATCTAAGGATTAAACCATGATGTATGGGTGGGACTGTGGTCTAAGGCTCCCACAGTTCACTCTACACATTTACATCCCTTAGCTATGCCAGGATCCGCGTATCTTTATCCAGTATTCGACCTGATACCACCCCTCATCTGTAAGCACCGTACATGAACTTTGGACTTTGCCTAAACAGTACGCTGAAACGTCCTGATAAAACAAAAACGTCTCTCTGAGCGATGATCCCGCTGAACACTTGATTTTCCTTTCCATGTGTTTGTGACATGTGCCACTGGAACGACAGGATACGTTCACTCACCAATTTAGGATAAATACATGTGTCGTGCAGTACCTGCAATTATTCGTTATTTGTTTAAGTCTATCCATTTACGCATTACCGTGGCTTATCAAAGTTATACCCAATGTCCTAATGGAACTCTCTTGCCATAGGTTAGTTTTTTATGTACTGGTTGTTATTGTTTGGTACTGAGACAACAGCATCTCCTTTGCATGATGAATCAGGAGATTACATTTCTCTTTCTGAAAATAACACATCAGGTGCCATAGGCGAAACCGGAAGGATAAACATCGATATTTATTGTTTCTACCTTGAACGATTTGGAACGTTTGTGTACAAAACTATTCAAAACTTTTGAAACATGCTTAAGTTCACGCACTGTTTGACTGGTGCAATTCCTCAACAATAGCTACTTACTGTAAGAAACATCGGATGAGATGTCTTACAACACGTTAGAACTATGCCACTTTGCCAATATAAGATTCAAATAAAAATCAATAGGAATTGTATGTAGCATTGCGTACACTAGCAATTACATGTGACAGCTCGTGTACATTGTGTAGGTTCATCACAGAACATAGTAATCTGACCAATGGCATCGTATGTCCACGGGCGTCCGTCAAGAGTTAAACATATGAGGTGAGGTGAAATGGGGTTTAACGTCGCGTCCAAGAAGGTTTGAGAATTTAATAACGAAATAATTACGTTAAAACTGATGCTGAAAATGATATTGATAATGTTAGGATGTATAAAGGCGTAAGACCAGAGACATTTTTTGCCAATTACTTCAGAAATACTTATGAATGGGAAATAACCACTAATCGGATATAACGGAAAAAGAAGCTGTGCTTCATATAATGTTCAATAAAAAAGAATATTCTGAAATTAAACAATGCAACTTTCAGTACATTTTCATAAAGACATCTCCTCGGCTTTTGGCGTGGCTCACAACTTGCACGTGCGTGTTTACGTACGGCGCAAAATTTGGATGTTTGTGCGTTTGTTGAGAGCGTTATACTCACAAACGTGTTTTAATGTGAACAGCACACAATGATTGTCTCACTATCAGTGAAAAAAATAAATTGTTATACCGTTAATAACGCCACGGCTTGGTGAAAATGAACGCCTACGTGCCGTGTGTAATCTGCAAACAGTAACGGCACAAACCATCGAAATAAATAAATCTCAATATCTTGAGACAGTAAGGTACCATTCATGACTTCCCACGGGCCGGTCTTCACCATCTTCCACGGCTGGTGCTTCTACGGAAACTACCAAACTGCCACACTAGCCGCTCGGACAAGTCCTGGGTTGTGACAAATCAGTGGCAGAACCGTACGCAACCGGTCCAGGGAGCACAACATCCAGCGAAACGCTCAACGTTGCTTCCACGTCACCGTCAGGCACGCCTAACTTGGTGTAGACTGCATCTGAGGTTCAGAAGTCAAAGCTGGGACAGTATACTGTCCACAGATAAGTCAAGGTTTCATCTGGATAGCTCTGATAGACGTGCGTCAAAAAGAACGATTTTGGTGGAAGCGTAATGGTATGGTGTGGCTTCACAATTCATCATTTGTATGGCAATAAAACTGGCGTACGCTATCTGGACGCCATCGTTCGAGATAGTGTGCAAATGCAGGGACGTACCGTCACGTTGCAGAAGGATAATGCCCGCCCACATGTTGCACGTGTTGTGACAAATCTTTCGAGGCAGCATAACATTCCTGTACTGTCATGGTCGACTGTTTCTCCAGACCTTCATCCGTCCACAGAACATGCCTTGGGTGTGATGGATAGATGCCTACGACATGATCAGAACCAGCCGGTAAAGGTACCTCAGTGAGATCAATTGGCCGTGGACGATTGGAACAACGTCCCCCAGGCTCTTTTCAATCATCTGTTGTCTTCAATGGATTACGGAAAGGTTTTTTCGCTCCTTTTTTATGTTAAGAATATTTCTTGATAGTATTTTCATTTTCCGCAGTTGAAATCACTCAGGATGAAACGGGATCAATATCTCTTAGTTTTAGGATTCATATTAAATAAATCGATACTAGAAAACAAGAAACCTGGACATAGTATGTTCAGTACTGGCACAAGAGTTAAAACAGGGCTGTAAGAACAATTATCTCCATGCCAGTTCGCCAAGGTGATGGTCAACCAGAAATAAGCTGTTATCATCAAGAAGATTTCCTATCGTTCTGCCAATCACCACAGATGCACTCTACCTGCTGCCATCCATGAGCTAGCTGTAGTGGTCACGCCAGATGTTGAATGCCTTTATGCAATTCCCCTGTCGCGATTAACGACTGGATACGCGATGCTGCGCTCGCTACAATGAAGCTAAGGAATTGTCAGGAAAGCGTGTGCCATCTGTGCCTTAGGGTTGTCTTTGCGCTTGAATATTACTTCTGACAAAGTCAAATCAGTTGATGAATATATAATTAATGTTCACATCATTTACCCAAATAATATTCACGACAAGACCAGATCTGTCTAGATAAGGTTTTGGTCGGTGAGATGAAACAATCGTTGAAAAAGAGGTGGTGCCATATGGATTTGTGCATACCGCTAAGGTCATACACTGTACATCTGGCGAAGTTAAGCGGAGAAGCCATGTGGTTTTGTGCATACCACTAAGGTCATACACTGTACATCAGGCGAAGTTAAGCGGAGAAGCCATGTGGTTTTCTGCATACCGCTAAGGTTATACACAGTACATCTGGCGAAGTTAAGCGGAGAAGCCATGTGGTTTTGTGCATACCACTAAGGTCATACACTGTACATCTGGCGAAGTTAAGCGGTGGTGCCATATGGTTTTGTGCACACCGCTAAGGTTATACACTGTACATCAGGCGAAGTTAAGCGGTGGTGTCATGTGGTTTTGTGCATACCGCTAAGGTCATACACTGTACATAAGGCGAAGTTAAGCGGTGGTGCCATATGGTTTTGTGCACACCGCTTAGGTCATACACTGTACATCTGGCGAAGTTAAGCGGTACCATATGGTTTTGTGCATACCGCTAAGGTTATACACAGTACATCTGGCGAAGTTAAGCGGTGGTGTCATGTGGTTTTGTGCACACC